AACAATATTACTGCGTTATTCCTTCAAGTATTCCAAAATGTGATATTCTATCCCTCTAATAACACAGAGTGTTCCCACTTCTGGAAGAGTGGTCTAATTTCCGATCCAAGTTGCACACTTCCAGTCAGTGTAAGCGCACCAACCGCCAGAGGAACAAGATCAATATGGCTGCCGCCATAACTAAGTATCAGCATAAACAACCTAATGCAGTACAGAAAGAAACATAAACTCAGTAGAGGCACAAAAAACAGAAACTATAATAAAATACAAATATTATCATCCCGAAATGAAACTGAGCAGATTACCAAAACTTAGAACTGAAAGAATCAATAAGGGCATATTACAAATATATACATGGAGGGATTTTCATAAACAAAGCCTTCTAAAATGAATCTTACATGTCGTGGGATTTTTAGTCAGAAGCAGACTAGCTAAGCGGACACAACACTCTAGTTGAGATCTCACCTAGTTGGATCATGGAGCGCAAAACCAGTTCTAATCATAACGTTCGAATGCCCAGCGAAATGATCATGTCACTGTAAAACCCTTAGTGCTTTATGCATTGCAATGAGATGTTTTCACGACTTGATCTACTCCCAAACTGTTTTTCCGCACACCTTGAAGAAAAATATCGTAGACATCATCCGCATTAGTATCCCAATCTTTTGATTTCGATAACAGTTCGAAGAAATTTTGAGGTTTTCTCAAAATCCATTTAGAAACGAGAAGTGTTCGCCAGGTCTTGAAGAAACTTGATCGGCTTACAACAGCAGACATTTTGCAGAGGGCTGAAGAGGAGGAAAAGTCAAGTAATGCTTGACCGCTATCAAGAGACCCAAAAACTGGGATTACACCGGTCAAACGACGTAGGCATCGTAGTAGCTACACACTCCACTCCTTTAGCTGTTACATTTATAGTGTGCCTTATGTAGTGACCAGTGTCGTCTTGAGTTTTATTTTCCCCAAACCATATTTAGAAAGTTTGAGTACAAGTATAAGACCACCTATGTATATGACGATCATAGAAAAATTGAATCAGATTGCGATAGGTGTAAAATCTATTATGAATGTTTTGTTTTTTGGAAAATCCCTCCATGTATATATATTTGTGTGATGATGTGACTGACTCTTTCTATTGACATTTTGGTACTCTATTTGATTCCATTTTGAGATTTTATCATTGTATATTGTTATTATTTCTTTATCTTGTACTTATATTGAAGTTTTTATGTTTACTTCTGAACTGTACATATGTTGTTTAAATTTGATATTTAATATGGCTACAGCCATATTTGGATTTGATATTTCAACAGTACGGACTGGAGGCACTTTTTCTTCCAGAAACGGATACCCACCGCGGTAAATTGGATTTAGAAGGTGTAATATTGTTTGGTAATTGTCTGTATTTCCATTTTATTGAATTATAGGACCGTTTTCTCCCAGAATTATTGTGTTTTGGTTTCAGATCCTGGGGGGAGCGCGTACCAAACTGTGTAGTGAATGAGAACACAGGTGGGGGCAACCGAATTGTATTTAACGAAAATTACAGAGTTAGTCAGTAAAATCGGAAAACCATATCGTAAATCGTTCATTTGCAAAAGATCAGTTCATACTATGGATTTGGACTGTTCCTGTTGCCAAACATCAATCCATTGTCACTCTTCATGCGTTTCATACAAATTCCATTGTTTTCTGACTCTTCCTTTCTTGATCTTCCCCCCATATTATGCTACCAGACTTTACGCTGACACTCACGCTATATACTACTTATAAGTAGTTCGCAACACAGCACCACAACTGTACCTATTCGAAACGGAGTGAACTGTTGGAGTAGAAAATCCATTTACAATAGGTATGACGGTCAAAGTAGATATCGCTGTACGAATAACAGATGTAACTCTGACCTACTTTGAACTGTTTACCTGGAGATCCGTACATCTCTCAGTTGTGTGTAACGATGTCGAACCCAGGTATCTGCGCTTATGACCGTATTAGATTCAAACGAGACCTTCTGATGGTTTCAGAAATGTCAGAGAACGGTGAACTCAAAACTAAATATTACTTAAAGTTGGTTATTGGTGTCTTGCCAATAGTTTCGGGCTATCTTGGATCCTCTTAAGTCTCTATAACCTAATTCAGTATCCGTTACTTACGGATCCACAGTATCCAGGGTAAACAACTGTTAACAGACAACTATATCTTTCGGATTATGGCTTTCATCATTCTCCAAGTCCCTGCGCCATACAATAGGACTCTTTCGACATCTGTATTGAAAATTCCGACTTTTGTCTTTCCTGACAATTGTTTTTTGTTTATGTTTTATGTTCTTCAGTTTTAGAAATCCTGCCCGTGAGTCGCTAAACCGTATCTCCACATCCGCACAAAATCCACCTTGTTCGTGAATGGTGCTGCCCATATATGCACACTACTTATAGATAAATATTTTCCCATCACCAAGACCCTCTTCGTAATTGGTCACTAATTATTTTACTGAAGACATTCTCAAATGCCATTTCTTTATATCAAAAAAGAATTATGGTCACTTGAAGTTACTTAAAATGTGGAACGATCATATAAACAGACCCATATTTCCTTCTCTTTCTGCGTTTCCCGCCGTCATGGCTAGGTCTCTCTCATAATTCCGCTGATCATTTCTAATGGTCCTATCTTATAATAGATTTTTGTGATTCTTCGGATAGCATCAGTACAACTCTTAGTGTGTGAGGCATTTTCTTCTTCATGAACAAGGTACATTTACCTCTCTCTTTACGCTATTTTTTCTTTTCTGTTTAAGTTCATTGTGATTAACTTACTCGACACACCACCGGGTTAATGATTTTCACGAAGCGTTTGTGAGTGAATGCGACGTCACCATGTTACGTCCAAGTTTTGCTCCTTCCGTTATTGAAACACAGTATGTCGATCTATTTGCAATTCACGAACCCAAATTAACAACTGAACCAAACTCCAAAGTTAGGTACCAGAGTTTATTCGCAATTCACAAATAGTCGACCAAAATGTCGTTCTAACAACAATAATTATAATAATTAAAATACCTTCAATTTTATAGGTTCCTGGAGCAAAAACTGCCAATTAGCAAACGAAGACAAACAGAAACCAAAATGTCCAAAAATAATAAATCAAACAAGTTCATAAGGTAAATAAAACAAACATACCCAAAAAACAGTGAAATTAATGATATTTATGTAAAGCTTTTAATCAGTCAAATGTCTTCATTTCTCCCGTAAGAACCACAACCATTAGGTTGAAGGCATATACATTTTTGAATCTGTGTCCAGTTTTGATCTTTTCTGCCATTCCTTGTGTTTTCATGCGTTTGTCGTCTAACTAAAACTGTCCTTAATTCTTTAGATAGAGCAGATCGAAATTCAAATACGTGTAGATTATTTGCTTCTTCAAAAACAAAATACCATGGCATCCCCCAATATAGGTATCGCTTATTACAAATATCACTGAGTTTTATGGACTAATATCTGCAGTTTTCCATTGGTTATCCTGTTCGCAAACATTTTCTGAAGAACTTATGTACCTGTAATATTCGTTTCTTTGGTATGGGCTGCAGTCACTGAGGATGAAAAGGAAAAATTCTAGCATTTTGGTGCAAGGTAAGCACATATGAAACTCTGTATTCGTGTCGCAGGGTAATACGGAGGATTGAATACTTACTAAACAAAACATCCGAGTAATATACTTGTTCCGAAGTAATTTTATGTCGGCAAACAGATTCCACAAATGTTTTAAGAAATTATCAGATAGAAATGTTAATCCTTTTGCAAACTATGTGAAACCAACTAAATCCTTCTGAAGAAGGAATGTAATTACTTATCCCTGGCTTGTCAGGAGAAAAACCATAACCTTTCGACTTAGAATTAGAGTTGAGGATTCGAAAATAGTGTCTTATTTATACAGTATAATGTGTATACCCAAAGAATACAGCGAGAATAAAAATTAGTATGAGTCCACGTCCGTGTGTAGACATACGCGTGACCACTCAGTGGAATTCCACTCCCTAATGTCTCCTCAAAGCGCGATCTCGGTTTGATGACCACTGAAAGCCTCCACACCAGTTCAAACTACATAAGGGACGCAGCCAACGCTAATGCAACTCTTCACTTTATGTGAAAACAACTTAGTGCTATCAACCCCCAGGATTATTCCTAACGTTGTTCAAGATATATGCACGCCCACACCTTGAGGTTCACAACGTCGTCTCACCCCGCCTCCTTAAAAGAGACATAAATCTCTTGAACCGAGTGCGGAGACAAGCAACGAAATGGGTGATAGGGTTAAAGAATAAAGCTCACGAAGATAGAATCCAGCATTTGGGATTATTCACTCTGAGTTAAAGGAGAATCAGAGGTGATGTGATTATGGCGTACAACACATTAAGCACACCAAACTATCCCAACGTGAACACCTTACCTATGTATTACCTCAAATCACCTCTAGGCAATCCTCGAAAAACCGTGCATCAGAAAGCGAATACTCAGGTTTATGCACACTTTCCCAATAAGAGTCTTAAAGATTTCCATTGTGAAGATTAGAACAACACATATAAACGAACAATATTGTTTTCGATTAGATCGTCATCAGGCTTTACTCTAAAATACATGAATATTTATATGAAAATGTTAAACCACTTTTACTTTTGCCTGTTATATATAGTGACGTAATCTTTTTCATTTCATTGTGATTATGACTCAGATTGCCTTGATCGGTCTAACATTTTCATATAAATATTCATGTATATTAGAGTAAAGCCTTATGAAGATCATTAAGGGTCGTAGCGACTTAGAATGTTCTCCCTGCGGAGGTGACGACAGCCTCCTCAGTAGACAGCTTTAGGAAGAGACAATGAAACATCTGTATCCGATCCGATAGATCCAGAATCGAGCACAAAGTAATCAATTGTCTTAGACGGGCTTGTGAAAGGAATATTGAATGTTGGGTGTCGTCGTGCGCTCCATTTGAAGTTGGTGATGACTATAATAGAAAGTAAGTCTGTGAACAGATGTAGGTACCAGTGCTCTTTCCCTGTTTTTAAGCTATTTCATCCACAAATTATATTTTAATTCTTTGGCGTTCTGTTGATCCTTCCTACACCCCCCTAACATCTCTCTGCCTACGATTTAATGCTACACTTACACCAATGAGACTCCTAGAAGCAGCATCAGGGCTACCGGATACACGAAGAGTAAATCGAGTTGCTTCCTTATCTTGACATGGTAAGGTCAAGTGGATGATGCTACTCGGATTCTGTATGTGTGTTTCAGAGACAGCATACATCGATGGCGCGAGATTCTAAAATCCTAGCTAAGGAAGCATTTTATCCTATTCGACACAAGGTCTGGACATTAAAAGATCCAATATGTGGTTTAGACTGGGGTTTCAGCCGACCAGGAATGACGTTTAGTTAACTCGCATCGTTTGCACTAACGGTGCAGTGTGATAAAAGAATGTGAGAAGAGTTAGTCGAGGAGATTAGAGACATGTTAGTCAGCCAGTCAGTCAGATGCAACGTAGAACTTCGTACGTACGTACATCAGTTCATGTTGCCATACCACATCAGAACAGAGATATAATTGTCAATTCAAATCCAATAGTAGAAGAGGTAGTAAAGGTATTAGAAGTAATCGAATAGGTAAGGATTAGAAGATATTCAAGAAGTATAATTCAGTGAGATAAGGTTAGAAAGACAAAGGTAGAGGTGCTGACGAATCCATAAGATTAAGATTTGAGAGAGCTCAAAGAATGGATGCACTTGCGCCATTGCAAACGATTTTGAGCCATGTCGTTCAAGGTCTCTAACCATCGATTTCTATCGTCTCGCGGACCCCAACCAGGTAGTCTACATCTACCAACATGACTCAGTCCACTTGTCAGTGACTTCATGGATTTCTGCCATGTTTTGGTCTGGCCGCCCCTAGCTTTCTTCCAACCTACTCCTACACCGCAAAACATAGCTCGTCGAGGCAGTCGGTGGTTAGCCATACGTAACACATGTCCCAACCACCTTAACTGATGAGGTTTCACCACTTCATCGATTGATCTGCTATCCTTACCTAGTACTCGTTTCCTAACGACAGCATTGCTTACTCGGCTGTCCCACGATATACGAGCAATGCTTCTTAAACATCTATGATCGAATACTAGTAACCTACGAACATCTTCTACTCTTAACGGCCATGTTTCACAGCCATATAAGAGAACGGAACGAACTGCTGCGCAGTACACCCGCCCTTTGGTTAGAGAACGGATGTCTCGCCTACGCCATAAGTGACGCAGGTTGGCAAAAGCGAATGGAGCTTCCTGTATCCGCGCTGAGATTTCGTCAGTCACCAGGCTATCAGCGCTGATGAGACTACCGAGATAAGTGAAGCGATCAACACGCTCGACTACTTCACTCCCTATCACTAGTTCAGGTGCCGATGCAACCCATTCTTGAAGCAACATTTTGCATTTCGAGGGGGAAAACCGCATCCCGAACATGCTTGCATTGTTGCCTAGGGTAGTCAGAAGACTTTGCATTTTGTCAGCGTCTTCACCGAATAGAACTATGTCATCGGCATATTCTAGGTCAGTAAGCGACTTTCCCGGTAGAAGGTCAACCCCTGAAAAATCTGACGAGCTTAATGTTAACTTCAAGAGGATGTCTACGACAAAGTTAAACAAGAATGGAGAGAGTGGACATCCCTGACGGACACCACTTGATGTAGAGAATTCTGATGACAGTTCGCCATAAGCTCTCACTCGACCATTGGTGTTCGAGTAGAGAGCTTGTGTGAGGTTAATGTACTTATTTGGTACACCTTTCAATGACAGACACTGCCACAGAACCTCACGATCCACAGAGTCAAATGCCGCTTTTAGGTCCAGGAACACGACTATTGTAGGACGTCTAAATGTGTGTCTGTGTTCCAGGACTTGTAGTAGTGTGAAGATGTGGTCTATACAACTACGTCCAGGTCGAAAACCAGACTGGTCTTCTCGAGTCTGCTCTTCACGAGCTCTAGTTAGACGTATAAGTATAATGGAGGCTAACAATTTAGAAACTATATTAGTTAGACTTATTCCCCTGTGATTGTCATAAGAGGACTTTTGTCCTTTCTTATAAATTGGGGCAATCAGGGATTGAGACCAGTCGGATGGGATTGTGTCCAGTTCCCAGATTCTACCTAAGATGTCAGTCAATCTAGCTGCTAAAGCTGGACCACCATCCTTAAAAATCTCAGGGGTCAGTCTATCAGGACCTGCTGCTCGCCCTCGTTTTAGATTTCCTAAAGCTTTCTGAACTTCATGTAGACTAGGAGGAATTAAATCGGTTTGCCATTCAAGATGACTGGAGATCGTGGGCAACCGAAGTGTGGCCGAGGACCAGTTGAACTGATCCCTGAAGTGTTCTTCTCATCGACCCAGTCTCCTGGATTGAGGATGGATGATAAGACCATCTTTTTCCGCGATAGTCTCACTCACACTCGGATTCCTAATACCGGTTTCTTTGATAAGTCGGAAAAGTTGTCTAGTGTTGCCTATCGCCGCTGCCTTTTCCATCGCTTTTGCTTTCGCCACCCACCGCTGTTCGCGGTCGTTACGTAGGCTTTTTATCAGTCTGCGCCTGAGCTGTCTACGTACTTCATCATGTTCAGAGTCAGGTGGGATGCGTTTTCGAGCATCCATCAGTTCGGTGGATGCGACTGAAATCCACGGCTTCATCCTAGCCTTATGGTTTACCTTGCTAGCAGATATCACTGCTGTTTCCACAGCCTTCTTGATATCATCCTAACCTGCCTCCGGATGAGAATCACTTGTATGGTCGCCTAACTGTTTTTCTAGTTCCTCCTGAAATATTTTCTTAGCTTGATTATCATTAAGTAAGTCAGTCAGTCAGATGCAACGTAGAACTTTGTACGTAATTACAGCAGTTCATGTTGCCTTACCACATCAGCACAAAGATATAATTGGCAATTCAAATCCAATAGTAGAAGAGGTAGTAAAGGTATTAGAAGTAATCGGAGAGGTTAGGATTAGATGATATTCAAGAAATATGATTGAGTGAGAAAAGTTTAGAAAGTCAAAACTAGAGGTGCTGACGAATCCATAAGATTAAGATTTGAGAGAACACAAAGAATAAATGCACCGGCGCGTTTGCGAACGGTTCCGAGCCATGTCATTCAGTGTATCTAACCATCGATTATTATCATCTCGTGGACCCCAACCAGGTAGCCTGCATCTACCAACATGACTCAGTCCACTTGTCAGTGACTTCATGGATTTCTGCCATGTTTTGGTTTGGCCGCCCCTAGCTTTCTTCCAACTGTGAGTTGAGTTAGTCGTAGAGATAAGAGAGATATGAGGGGGTGTAGGAAAGATTTGATTCGGACCAATTTGGTCTCGTGTGCTGTTACGGGTATGAGGGCGGTTCTCACTTCCCGGCTGCCCACACCGTGGAAAGTCATCATTAAGTAAAACCCTAAGAGGCTTTCTTACGTTGTCTTTCCTACGCCCAGTAAGCTTCAAACAAATACGCGCTCGCACTAGGGCATGCTCTGAATCTGAACATGTGCCCCAGAACGAGAGACAGTCATCTATCGAACCCCTCCATCTGTGGCTGATGGCGATGTGATCTAGTTGAGTCCAACGTTGAGACGACTTCGGGGGTCGCCAGGTCAATAGATGCTTTTCCTTATGCCTAAAGTTAGTGTTTGCTAAGAATAGGTGGTTGTCTGAGCATACATGCAACAGACGGTCACCATTGTCTGTTCTCTGAGCCGCGACACCATAACATCCACCTAGGTGTCTTTCATTTTCACTTAGTCTACCTACTTGAGCATTAAAGTCACCAGCCATTATTACTACATCAGAGCGCTTGACTTTTTGGAGGAGGTCCTAAAGCTTTCTGTAAAACTCATCTTTCACGTCGTCTGGACTGCAGTCAGTGGGGACTTAGGATGATATGCCGAAGAGGCAACGGCGAGTGTCCCTATCCTTTCGAATCCTTACTGTCCCGTTTAGTCGAATGGCGCACAAGCGACTATCTACAGGGATCCGGTCAAGGAGAGATTGTTCAGCTCTACGACTCCATGTTATACCTACACCAGCGAGACCCCTAGAAGCAGCATCAGGGCTACCGGATACACGAAGAGTAAATCCAGTTGGTTCCCTATCTTGACATGGTAAGGTCAAGTGGATGATGCTACTCGGATTCTGTATGTGTGTTTCAGAGACAGCATACATCGATGGCGCGAGATTCTAAAATCCTAGCTAAGGAAGCATTTTATCCTATTCGACACAAAGTCTGGACATTAAAAGATCCAATATGTGGTTTAGACTGGGGTTTCAGGCGACCAGGAATGACGTTTAGTTAACTCGCATCGTTTGCATTAACGGTGCAGTGTGATAAAAGAATGTGAGAAGAGGTAGTCGTGGAGATTATAGAGATCTTAGGGGGGTGTAGGGAGGATCTGATTGTGACCAATTTGGTCTCACGTGCTGATACGGATATGAGGGCGGTTGTCACTTCCCGGCTGCCCACACTGTGGAAAGGTGTTTCTTGAGGAACATGAAAAAGGAGGTAGATTAGTGTACGTCCCAACGACCTGGGAGCGTGACCACAGAGCACAAGGGACAACTGATCGAGGCCGGTCACGCACGGCCTTTTTATGAGAGGTTTTTAGACTATAGCTCCGCTCTTGAAAGCCCTTAGTGGGCACCCTTACCGACGGAGACGGAAATCCGAGAGGTAGGGTGAGATGTGACATTTATAGGGTCGACCTTTTCTAAATCTTCCTTCCTTGTGAGAAAGCGACATCGCTGCAGATGCTGGTTGTCCGAGGGAAACACCCTACTGCTGTCACACCCCTCTGCAGTAAGCAGTACGACTTCGCCTTCAGACTTTGAGTAGCTGCTTTTAGTCTCATCGTTCTCCAATCGACCTGCCTTGCATCGTAGAAACTTCATTAACATATGTTGCAGCCAATATAGCTCGGTTGGGTCATCACGATAGGCAAGCCCGACCAACACGTCAAGGTAGCAGTTTCGGTCGGTGGTGCACTCGCCGTTGCCGCTTCGTCGCCTCTGCCTACACTCCCTGACTATAGGCCAAACGAGGTGAAAGATGAGTTTTACAGAAAGCTTTAGAACCTCCTCCAAAAAGTTAGGCGCTCTGATACAGTAATAGTGGCTGGTGACGTCAGTGCCCAAGTAGGTAGACTAAGTGAAAAGGGAAGACACCTGAGTGGATCTTATGGTGTCGCGGCTGATCGAATAGATAATGGCGACCGTCTGCTGAAGCTATGCTCAGATAACCGCCTGTTTCTAACAAACACTAAATTTAGGCATAAAGAAAAACATCTTTTGACATGGTGACCCCCAAAGTCGTCCCAACGCTGAACCCAACTATGCCGAATCGCTATCAGCCACGGATGAAGGGGCTCAATCGAAGACTGCCACTCGTTCTGGAGCGCATGTTTAGATTCAGATCATGCTCTAGTACGAGCGCGTATTTGTTTGCGGCTTATTGGACGTAGGAGAGGCGGACAAGGAAATCTGTTAGGGTTCTACTTAATGATAGCATGGCTAAGAATACATTTCAGGAGCAACTAAAAAAACAGTTGGACAGCGATGTAAGTGATTTCCACCCTCGAGGTAGCTTGGAACTATATCCAAAAACCGTGGTAACAGCAGTGACATTTGGTATTCAGGTAAACCATAAGGTTAGGGAGAAGCGGTGGATTTCAGTAGCATCTACTGAACTGCTAGATGCTCGGGAACTCATCCCGTCTAGCTGTGAACATGACGAACAGCAGAGTCAGCTTAAGCACAGGCTGACAAGAAGGCTATTGAATGATTGCGAGCAGTGGTGGGTAGCGAAAATAAGAGAGATGGCAAAGGCAGCAGCGATAGGTAACAGTAGACAACTATTCAGAATTATCGAGGAAACCGGTATTCGGAATCCGACTGTTATTGATACTATCTCGGAAAGAAATAGGACTACTATTCATTCTCAATGCAGGAGATTGGGTCGATCGTTGGAACACTTTAGGGAGAAGTTGAACTGGTCTTCAGCTACACTTCGGTTACCCACGATCTCCAGTCGACTTGATTGGCTAATTGATGTAAGTCCTTCGACCCTGAATGAAGCTGCAAAAGCTATAGGAAATCTAAGGTGGGGGAGAGCCTCAGGCCCTGACAAGATTACTCCTGAGACTTTTAGGATTGGTGATCCAGTTTTAGCAGTTAGATTGACTGAGATCTCAGGTATAATCTGGAAACTGGACATAATTCCATCTGATTGGTCTCAATCGCTTATTGTCACAGTCTTTGATGTAGGACAATAGTACTCTTGTGACAATCACATAGGAATCAGTTTGACTGATATAGTGTCTAAATTGTTAGCCTCAACAATACTTAGACGCTTAAATAAAGCTCATGAAGTGCAGACTTCAGAAAAGCAGGCTGGTTTTCGAACGTGTCTTTGTTATTGGACCTGACGTAGTGTTAATGTTTGGTCTATAAAGCCACGTCCAGGTTGAAAACTATCCTGGTTTTCTCTAGTCTGTTCTTCACAGGCTTTGATAAAGCGCCGGAGTGTTATTTAGGCCAATATTTTAGAGACTACATTAGAGTTATTCCCCTAATCTCTTCCATTACTGCTTATACTTCTATTACATCCACCACTATGCGATTTGAATTGACAATTGCATCTTATTACTAACGTGGTAGGGCAACCTGAACTGATGTACTTACTACGTGCGACGTTCTACGTTGTTGCTGACTGACTGACTCCCGATTTTTATCCATATTATTCTAAGTACCTAAAGCGATTATGGTTCACTGAATATTTGATGTAGCCCCCACCGTGTTCTAAATAAAACCCACCATTTGAAAGCCGAGTTAATAATCTTCGTAATGAATATACTGTCATCTAAAAGCAAAGTATATCATAATGGGCTCCTAACCCTCTAACACATCTCAAATACCGTCGTACTTCCAAAAGTGGTCTCCGGCCACGATTGGACTGGATCTCTTGATGTTATTTTACTACCTTGGGGATTAGATATGTGTCAAAAGCTCAAGGAGTGGTCCTTTAAAAAAGCCATCTATGTTGCTTCCTTGAACCATCCACTTATCAGTCAGTCAGTCAGTCAGATGCAACGTAGAACTTCGTACGTAAGTACATCGGTTCATGGTGAGGCAAAGAGCAGTAAACTCGTGTTCTGAGGATGAAGTAGTACTGATGACTGTAAGGGTATGACATCAGTATGTTTACCAAGGACAATCAACAGCTGCGGTAATCCTGCCTTCCCAAAATGGAAAGGGTATTATAGGTCGATTCTAAGGAAGACACGTCTTGACTTCTCGCATAGACTCTCGACTCTGAAGATAAAACCTTTGAACTGTGGAGCTAAAACACAAGGAACTAGCACAAGGACTCTGTTTAGCTGGTCCCAGAGAGTTGCTCCCTGAGCTATGTTGTGACACACCCAGGTTCTCAAGATCCGATCCTGACCAGGTTTCCTTCTCAGGTATCTGAAGAACAAGTATCGTCTCACTGTATAGGCATCTGGGAAATCGAAACCACCCTTATGCATACAGCACACAAGAGGGATTCGATACCCACATCTAGCCTAATATAGTTTAAGTTCTACGCTTTTTAATATTGGTGTATCTTATGGACTTGTTTGTGAATTTTTAGTTGTACTATTCCTATAATATTCTGTTATTTTTGATCGTCTATCATGTTTACAGCTTTATTACCTGGGATCCAGTCGTTTTTATCAGTAGATTTACGTAGTATACAATTACCTCCTCATGTAGAGCAAAAACGTCAAAGATTCCTTGAGCTTATTGAAGTTCTTAGGTTAGAACCTAAACCATCATTACCGAAAAATATTAATATTACAACAGATCCTCTCACAATCAACACTATTGTTACTGCATGCCATGGTGGCGGTGATATTTTTACTACTACTACCACTACTAATGATATCGATACTACTACTATTACTACTCCTAGTACTTATACTAATAATGTTGCTGCGTTACAAAAGAGGCCGTTGAGTAATGGCATTGCACGTTTCTTTTCACACAAGCGTTATTCTCTTCCCCCTACAATAAATCGGTAAGTTTTTAAGTTGTTTATCGTTATGTTTAGTGATAAAATAATGCTTAACAAGGTTGAGTATTGTGAATTAATTCGTTATTTTGAATTTAAAGTGTTTTTTTCTAATATCTTGGCTTCCTGAAAACTCACGTATAGTCAGTCTGTGATGTGTACTCAATGTACTCAATGTCATATGTGGAGATAAATAGCATATAAGCATTGACAATGCTTATTTACCGAAACCTGTCATTCATTAAATTTTATTGCATAATAATGTCATATGATACGATTGCTTACTAATAGTCGTTTTTACCAGCGATACATTTTTTTTAGGAATTATATTGATATATCTAGTCAATATCGCTTAAATTGAGCTATCCATCCTAAGTATATACCCCGTTTTCTTGTGCATCACTTATCATGACAGTTACTCTAGGATGTTTTTTCTCTATAGAGATTGGTGTGTTGTCTTTTGGTCATTATTCGTCACAATGGTTGATTACTTTTCACCCACCAGCATATCCCCTCCCCTATCAAACAGAAAGCGACACCAGATGCTCACCTATGTGAGTTCAGTTAGTCAGTTACCTACTTCACGTACCGTAACAAAGGGGGCGTCAATTCAAAATATCATTCATCATAAAGAATATAGTGCTGTCATATTGAATTATTAGTCGGCATTTATTGTAATCCGCGATTTGGAGACTCGATATTCTACCAACTGACCGACTTCAGATATTCAAGTACAACTGCAAATACTGTTCCCCGACCGTAGCTGCTACCTTGACGTGTTGGTCGGGCTTGCCTATCGTGATGACCCAACCGAGCTATATTGGCTGCAACATATGTTAATGAAGTTTCTACGATGCCAGGCAGGTCGATTGGAGTGTAGGATTAAATTTGTCCTACAGATGTAATTCTAAAACGTAAACGCAAATACCGCCGATGACAGAGTCCAGAGTGAAACTATAGTTAACAGAAGACAATTCGGTATTAAACTTTATCTGCTTCTAAACAAAAAGAAACGATTAAATTAGTACAATAAATGAGGAAATTACAATTAGCAAGCAGGATGAACAAACGTACCGGACAGTATAGCGTGTCTTTAGAAAATGAATAAAAAACATGAGTCACAGCAATATACATAAAATGATAACATCCTTCAATCGATGGACCATTCACAACAAAGAAAGTTTATACATCGGTCAGACTAGATGACGTGGTGAGCGCTTAACCAATGTGATTGGTTAGTTATGACATAACTACAATTAGTCATAAAATAACTAACACTCCCCCCGAAGCGGTCACCACGTCCAGACCTCGTTATCGCGGCGTTCAAGTAGTCAGCTTCCTCTAGTAGGCATAGGTTCCGTAGCCATCTACTCCAGAATAGATCAGCCAGTTTCTGAGCTTCAATGATCCAGAACTCTTCGCGAAGACTGTTCATGGTATGAGTAATACCAGAATGTGCGTTCTGTAGATGGAAGTGCATTACGATTATGTCGGTAACAAAGTGCTTATTAGGAAGTATGAGTGGATGTTTGCTTTCGAAAGGTAAGCACGATAGTTGAAGTCGTCCTCCTACTCTAATCATGTTATCTACTCTCATTCTTTTACCAGTAGCTATTAACTGGGGTATCATTTCCTTATTCAAAGCAAATCCATCTACTTTCGTCGGTCTTTCTCGAGATTCATATTTGTTGCCGCTCTCTTCATCATGCTGTATTTGCTTTAGTGCTTCCATCTCCATAGGGAATGAGACCATTTGAACCAATTTGATTATATCCTGTTCCGCGCTATCGATTTCTTCCAGTCTCAACCTACCATAAACTGATGGTCTTCTGTCTAACTTCATCCCCATATTACGGGCGAACCGTTTACATAAAGCGAATATTCTCATCATTCTGAACCATGTCTTACTATCACTAAATCGATTCAAAAATTGGTCTGAGCAACTCTTCGTTGATGTCTCGCCTAGTTCTTCTATCGACAAGTGAGCTAAAACATGTTTCTCTTCTTCGGGTGGAGTCGGCCAATTACTTTCGTCTTGCCATAAAAATTTCGGTCTACGGAACCACTCATTTAGTTTGATGCTATCGTCTGACGACAAAATATTTCTTCTGGTTAGGTTTCCATGAAACTCGTGAACTTTGAAACATAATTCGTCTGTTCTAGTGTTCCACTCTAACCCCAGCGTTCGTTTACTCATCTCGTTTGATTCGCAGACGGCGATGCTTCCTTCAGTACGATCATTCTCCGGAATGAACTCCAGCACTTCAAGGTTGTTGCTCGTCCATTTAGTTGAGTTAAATCCTCCCAGACTTAAGAGTCTTCTGAAATACGAATAAGTCAGTTTAGCTTCTTCTATAGTATCCACGCTTATCAATAAATCGTCCACATCAAACTGTTCCTTAGCTGCTTGTGTAACAACTTGGGGAAATTTATCTTGGTTATCGGAAATCGATTTTTGCACGGCAAACGTGGCGCAACCTGGTGATGAAGTTACTCCGAACAGATGGACTTTCATTCTATAGACCTCTGGCTCCTTTTCCAAATTTCCAACTGGCCACCACAAATACCTAAGAGCGTCTCGGTTGTGTATCGGGACCATTACTTGATGGAACATGGCTTCGATGTCTGCCGTAAGGCCTATGGGTAGTAGCCGAAACCTGGTGAAGACGTCTACTAAGTTATTAACTAGATCAGGCCCAGAATAAAGATTTTTATTTAGAGATGTCCCAGCATACTGAGCCGCGCAATCGAACACTATTCTTAACTTATCGGGCTTCTTGGGATGAAAGACAGGGTGATGAGGAAGATACCATATTCGTCCATTAGAGTCTTTATCGTCTACCTTCTCGGCGTAATCCTTTTCTATATATCGTGCCATAGTATTCACATAGTCTTGAAACAGCTTCGCATCCCTGACAAGTCTACCTCTTAAACAGTTGAGTCTATGCTCTGCTAATTTTTTATTATTAGGCAGCTTATGTTCATGCCTCCACGGCAGAGCTATTTGGTAGTGTCCATTTAGCTTTTGGACTGAGCTTGATATAGCGTTGAATGCTATACGATCTTCAACAGACATCGATGGGGTAAGACTAACTGGGTCTTTGAATTCGGTTGAATACAACTGCTCAAACTTATCTTCTAGTTCGTCCTTAGCTGAGAGGTGATTAAGTGCATGATGGTTTGACCTGATGGTGTATGTTTGACTCAAAACAGATACAGAACTGTCCAATCCATATGGACCTGTGTCGTTCTCTTCGATAGCTTTTCTTTTCAATTCACGACGTCTTCGACAGGCTTCGTGAAACTGGAAAACACTCTTATCACAAACCATCCCATCCTGTTCGATGATTTCATCAAATAATTTTGGAAGAAGAGTCTTCTTGTCTTCTAAGACAGAGAAACCACTTGTACTTACATGAGTAGGACGTGACCGATAGCGATGTGTTTCAGGATCCGAAGTGCGGTCTATTGACTTATCGTCACAGCAATATACATAAAATGATAACATCCTTCAATCGATGGACCATTCACAACAAAGAAAGTTTATACATCGGTCAGACTAGATGACGTGGTGAGCGCTTAACCAATGTGATTGGTTAGTTATGACATAACTACAATTAGTCATAAAATAACTAACAGGAGAACGATGAGACTAAAAGCAGCTACTCAAAGTCTGAAGGCGAAGTCGTACTGCTTACTGCAGAGGGGTGTGACAGCAGTAAGGTGTTTCCCTCGGACAACCAGCATCTGCAGCGATGTCGCTTTCTCACAAGGAAGGAAGATTTAGAGAAGGTCGACCCTATAAATGTCACATCTCACCCTACCTCTCGGATTTCCGTCTCCGTCGGTAAGGGTGCCCACTAAGGGCTTTCAAGAGCGGAGCTATAGTCTAAAAACCTCTCATAAAAAGGCCGTGCGTGACCGGCCTCGATCAGTTGTCCCTTGTGCTCTGTGGTCACGCTCCCAGGTCGTTGGGACGTACACTAATCTACCTCCTTTTTCATGTTCCTCAAGAAACACCTTTCCACAGTGTGGGCAGCCGGGAAGTGACAACCGCCCTCATATCCGTATCAGCACGTGAGACCAAATTGGTTTTTGTCTGTCTTAGTTATTGGACCTGACTTAGTGTGAATGTTTGGTCTATAAAGCCACGTCCAGGTCGAAAACCAGCCGGGTTTTCTCTAGTCTGTTCTTCACAGGCGTCGGAGTGTTATTTAGGCCTGTCACCGCTTTCTTTTCCATCGCTTTCGCCACCCACCACTGTTCGCGATCGTTGTTTAGTCTTTTTATCAGCCTGCGCTTAATCTCACTTCGCTCTTCATCATGTTCAGAGCCAGGTGGGATGTGTTTTCGAGCATCCATCAATTCGGTAGATGCTTCCGAGATCCACGGCTTCTTCCTAGCCATATGGTTTACCTTACTAGCAGATACACAACTTTATTAGAATTGGAAAGAAAATAACGTTCATGTGAAGATTTGACTGGAAAATCTTATTTCCATCTAATTTCCATTTTGTAAATATTTATGTATTTTCTCGCAACGTTTACTAAGTGGTATAAAGGCTTTATGTACAGTTAGCTGCCGGGTAAGAATTTTTCTAACTATGCCTCTGATATTATTTTGTTGGGTGAGTACTTGGTGACTAAAAAACTGTAGTAACTGCACGCTTCATATTTGTTCAGCTTTAAGCCTAGATTCCCAGTCACAGGTTCAAACTCCGCTCCATCTACCTTGATTTAGTCAGTTAGAAAGTGACGTCGTCCCTCACACCTCCAGTACCCTTATCTGTACCGCCTGATAAATGAATTAAGTAGCATAATTTACCTGTGGTTGAGTAATATCCATCAATATATAGTATTGTGTACAAGGATTCTTGTCTGGTTTACCGGGTTATTTGTTTTCCTTTCTTTATAGTCCCTCACCATCTGTCCTGATAGATTCATTCAAAACACTTGTTTCAACAACTTCTGGTACACCAGTTCATAGGCGAAATTCACAGGTTTCCAATGTATTTAAATCATCGTCTGGTCATTCATACCATAGACATCCGTGTGAATCACCACTGGACGGTAAACCTGTGTATAGTTTTGACAAAAGAAGAAATTCGTTTCTACCATCAGTTTCACCTACCCTTCCACCTCCTTTACCACCAAGAAAATCCCAATTACATAAATTTTTTTGTAAATTAGAAGATCCATACGAAGTACCAAAACATTCTGCAGCGGCTGTAGTAACTACTATCGACGTCGGAACAATAACCACCTTAACATCAGCTTCGTCAACAATCACACCTATCCGTTCGAAATCATCAATTACATCAGCTAATAAACCTATGTGCATAAAGCAACAGTTCAATCGACTGTCATTATCTCCTCAATTAGGTATGTCTGCATAATATATATATATATATATATATATATATATATATTGCGTGGTTCTTGTTTAGTTAAGTTCCAGGTGTGAAAACCAGCAATACTATCAAGGTAATCAATCTAAGGCAGGGGGAGCTTACTTCGAACCTGCGACATAGTGGCTGAACGACGTTCGCTCTAACCACCGGGCGACCACTTCACCTTGATACTCGTTAGTTAACATTACTTACGTCTGTTACCCCTCGTAGAGCATGGATTTCCAACTAGAAATCTTCAACAAGCTCTGTCTTAGGCTCTCGTTTCTAACCGTTGCTAAGTGCAACTTATCTTCGCTTTTATCTTCCTCTTTTGGAGATTTCAGGTTACGGCTTGCCGTGTGGTGCAATTTGGTGATATCTGCAATATGTCCTATCCACCTCTAGCACTTCTCGATTTTCTCTCCAGCTGAAAGCTTATTTAACTTCTGGAGCCCCTCTGGGGTTAACGACCCCCATCCCGTAGATAACTAACTCGCAAAAATACTAACGTGGAAAATGTAATTCGAACTACTTAATCTCTGCCCTGGGACTTAGGTCCTCATTTAGGAGAGGTATAACGTCTCGTAATGACAGCCGAGTTCCTTCGGAATTCACGAAGCTGATGCCCTTTCTGACAACCAGAAGATTAGTTAATATAGGTACATGGGATGTTGGCACAATGCAGGGGACCGGGAGAACATACAACCTAGTGGTGCCATGGAATAAATGAAATACAATAGACTTGGTCTGTACAAAAAAGATAAGCTTCAGGATAGATGCTGTTGCACTCTGGAAATGAAGAAGAAAATGCTCCACATACACAAGGAGTTTCACTTATGCTATCCAAACAGGCACGAAATGCACTGATAGGATGGGTATCTCATGGACTCAGGATCATCAAGGATCCTTCGAAACAAAGAGAGAGGGCATTACAATGAACGTCATCCGATGCTATGTGCCTATCAACGATTATAATGAAGACGTTAAAGATAAATTCTACCAGAGGCTGCAGTCAATCGTTGAGAGATGCTCATCAAAGGTTTTGACCCTCCTAATGGAAACTTAAAAGCCAAGGTTGGCATGGACAACCCCGGGTATGAAGACATCATAGAACGACGTGTACTGGAAGAAAGAAGCGAAAACAGTGAGAGATTTGCAAACCTATGTGCCTTCAACAAACTGGTCATCGGTTGCACAATATTCCCACACAAACACATTCACACAGTCATGTGGATTTCACCAGATCACAATACTCAAAACAAAATCGGCCATATATGCATCAATAAAAAGTTCAAAAGGACTATGGAAGAAGTAAGAACAAAGAGAGGAGCTGATATAGCCTTAAATCATCATTTGCTGGTTGCCGAGGTGAAAATGAAACTCAAGAGACACTGGAAAACATCACAAAAGTTTATTACATTGTTTCTTCAGGATACTGACAAACTCAACGAATTCAGGAATAGGATCCAGGCCTTTAACGATCTACTCTACGGAAAGGAAACTACCATGGAGCACAACTGGAAAGGGATCAAAGAGGCAATCAATTGAACATGTTATGACGTTCTGTTGGTACTCTTGAACAAAAGAGGAACAGGAAGGTAGCAGTCAACATCAGCCGGATAAGAGCAGAGAAAACTAAGGCGCAAGCTGAATACGCAGAAGCAAACGAGCAAGTGAAGCGGATCATCAGAGCCGCCAAACGTAAATATGTGGAAGATCTAGCAATGACGGTGGTAAAGGCTGCAAGAGATGGGGACATGATATGACAAAGAAGCTCTCTGAAAGTTATTGTAAACTGAAAAGCCAGTGAAAAGCAAGGAAGGTAAGGCAGTCGCCGACGTTGAAGAACAGCAAAACAGGTGGGTGGAGCGTGTCTGAGGAGATAGTCAACATCATACGGAATTCTTATGATGCATGAAACTGCAAAATCATGCATAGAGCACAGCTAACAGACTCGTTCGAAGTAAAGAGCGGTGTCAGACAAGGTTGCTTACCGTCACCCTTTCTCTTTTGTCTGATGACCGACTGGATTATGAAGACGTCAATATCTGGAGGCAAGCTAGGAATACAATAGAAAACTAGGATACAAATGGGCGATTTGGACTTTGCAGATGATCTGGCTCTTCTATCACACACCCATTAACAAATTAAAGGGAAAACGACCAGTGTAGCAGCAGTGGGTTTCAATATACACATAAGGAAAAGCGAGAATCCCTGATACAACACAACCAACCCAAATCACACCTCAAGGAGAAGCTTTAGAAGATGTAGAAAAGCACATATCTGGGCAGCCTGACTGATGAGCACGAGGAATCTGAAGCAGATATGAAGGCACGGACCGTCAAAGCAAGGACAGTATTTCTAAGATTGAAGAACATCTGGAACTTGAAACAACTCTCAGTTGGTCAGTCACTCAGAAACAACGTAGAACGTCGCACGTAGTACGTACATCAGTTCAGGTTGCCTTACCACGTTAGTAATAAGACGCAATTGTCAATTCAAATCCCATAGTGGTGGATGTAATAGAAGTATAAGAAGTAATGGAAAAGATTAGAGTTCGAATATATTACTCAAGAAGTACAATCCAGTGAAATAAATTTAAAAAGAGAAAGATAAAGGTCATGAGGAACTCAGAAGACTAGAATTTGAGTAAAAAGATGGAATGCATGCATCTGAGCCATTGCAAACGATTTTGAGTCATGTCATTCAAAGTCTCCAACCATCGGTCCTATTGTCTCGAGGACTCCAACCTAGTAGTCTACACCTACTGACATGGCTCAACCCAGTTGTCAATGACTTTGTGAATTTGTACCATGATTTGGTCTGGCCGCCCCTACATCTCGAAACATCGCCGGTCGAGGCAGTCGGTGGTTGGGCATACGTAACACATGTCCCGACCATCTCAACTGATGAAGATTCACTACTTCATCTACTGATCTGCCACCCTTACCTAGTACCCGTTTCCTAACAACTGGATTACTTACTCAATTGTCCCTAGATATACCGACAATGCTTCGAAGACACCTATGATCGAATACAAGTAACCTACGAGTATCCTCTGCTCTAATTGCGTCCAGGTTGAAAACCAGCCTGCTTTTCTGAAGTCTGCACTTCATGAGCTTTATTTAAGCGTCTAAGTATTGTTGAGGCTAACAATTTAGTCACTATATCAGTCAAACTGATTCCTATGTGATTGTCACAAGAGTACTATTGTCCTACATCAAAGACTGTGACAATAAGCGATTGAGACCAATCAGATGGAATTATGTCCAGTTTCCAGATTATACCTGAGATCTCAGTCAATCTAACTGCTAAAACTGGATCACCAATCCTAAAAGTCTCAGGAGTAATCTTGTCAGGGCCTGAGGCTCTCCCCCACCTTAGATTTCCTATAGCTTTTGCAGCTTCATTCAGGGTCGAAGGACTTACTTAAATGCGCACTGCTGATTGTTTCCATACCAGGACGAAACGACTGTCCAGTGCTTCCAGCTTTCCAATGGTTGTCTAACAATGATTGATTGAATATTTCAAATGTGTAAAAATATTTATTTTAACCTTGAATTTACTTTGGTCTTTAAGCCTAGGGTAACGTGAAAATTTCCTACCGTTTATTATTCGTTTCATATTACTTAAATTTTCTCTCTCCTTTATTTATAATTATCACCTTATGTCTAGTTGACTTTTGATTTAATTGACATCTTATTGATCTTCATAAAAAATGCCTTGAAAAGTATATGTGTGACCAGATTATTCTAAATGTATAGCGCAAATACATCACTTTTTCCAGGATGTGGGTAAACTCTCTATTGTCACTCGGTTATAAGCACCTCAGTCAGCCAATAAACAACTATTTCTACAATGAGAATATGCTTATTATTAGTATTATTATCACTTATGAAATTATTTTTCTCTTTATTACACTGAATTTTTACTCTAGAAATTGTTCAAGATCAAAAGAAGAATTTAGTTCTTCCATATGATTCACGTGACAACAATACTGCAGTTAGTGAAGCGATGACAACACTAGTCAGTTCAATGGAATTATCGAAAACAATTGATTCTGTCAAACATGATCGAACACTAATGTAAGCGTATATGTATATGCGTGATATTTTCATTAAATAACACAATCTGACTTGATGATATGATGGTTTCATGGTGGGGAAAAGTTTATAAAAATAGAGTAGTTATGGGCGGGTTGTTGAATTTCGTAGTTTATGTCATGAATTGAAGGGCAGTCATTGTAAACATCTGTTTTGTTTCCATAACATGCATCCGCAGCTACAATAGAGTAGCTGCCTCTGTCTACACTCCCACTGACTATAGGTCAAACGAGGTGAAAGATGAGCTTTACAGAAAGCTTTAGGACCTCCTCCAAAAAGTTAGGCGCTCTGATACAGTAATAGTGGCTGGTGACGTCAGTGCCCAAGTAGGTAGACTAAGTGAAAAGGGAAGACACCTGAGTGGATCTTATGGTGTCGCGGCTGATCGAATAGATAATGGCGACCGTCTGCTGAAGCTATGCTCAGATAACCGCCTGTTTCTAACAAACACTAAATTTAGGCATAAAGAAAAACATCTTTTGACATGGTGACCCCCAAAGTCGTCCCAACGCTGAACCCAACTATGCCGAATCGCTATCAGCCACGGATGAAGGGGCTCAATCGAAGACTGCCACTCGTTCTGGAGCGCATGTTTAGATTCAGATCATGCTCTAGTACGAGCGCGTATTTGTTTGCGGCTTATTGGACGTAGGAGAGGCGGACAAGGAAATCTGTTAGGGTTCTACTTAATGATAGCATGGCTAAGAATACATTTCAGGAGCAACTAAAAAAACAGTTGGACAGCGATGTAAGTGATTTCCACCCTCGAGGTAGCTTGGAACTATATCCAAAAACCGTGGTAACAGCAGTGACATTTGGTATTCAGGTAAACCATAAGGTTAGGGAGAAGCGGTGGATTTCAGTAGCATCTACTGAACTGCTAGATGCTCGGGAACTCATCCCGTCTAGCTGTGAACATGACGAACAGCAGAGTCAGCTTAAGCACAGGCTGACAAGAAGGCTATTGAATGATTGCGAGCAGTGGTGGGTAGCGAAAATAAGAGAGATGGCAAAGGCAGCAGCGATAGGTAACAGTAGACAACTATTCAGAATTATCGAGGAAACCGGTATTCGGAATCCGACTGTTATTGATACTATCTCGGAAAGAAATAGGACTACTATTCATTCTCAATGCAGGAGATTGGGTCGATCGTTGGAACACTTTAGGGAGAAGTTGAACTGGTCTTCAGCTACACTTCGGTTACCCACGATCTCCAGTCGACTTGATTGGCTAATTGATGTAAGTCCTTCGACCCTGAATGAAGCTGCAAAAGCTATAGGAAATCTAAGGTGGGGGAGAGCCTCAGGCCCTGACAAGATTACTCCTGAGACTTTTAGGATTGGTGATCCAGTTTTAGCAGTTAGATTGACTGAGATCTCAGGTATAATCTGGAAACTAGTCGTAAGTTTTCCGAACCCAAACATGACACAAACCCATTCTGTCACTGACAACTAGACTGGGGCACGTTGGTAGAGTTAGACTGTTGGTTATGGTCTGCGAGCTGATCGTAACCGATGGTTAGAGTCTTTGAACGATATGGCTAAAAATCGTTTGGGATGGTTCAGGTCCATCGATTCCTTGTTTTCGCTCAAATTCTAGTTTTGAGTTGCTCATGATGTTTACCTTTCTCTTTTTAAATTTATTTTACTGGATTATACTTTTTGAGTAATATCTTCTAACCGTATTGTTTTGCATTGATTTCGTCTCATTCCTAAGGTGGTATGGCAACCTGAACTGATGTACGTACTACGTGCGCAGTTGTACGTTTTATGTGTCAAACTGTATCCTGGTGTTCGTTTCTTCAGTAGTGTTTATTCACGATCTTTCTCAGATTTGGAGCCAAAAGTTTCAACTTATATTAGGCGGATAACGTCTAAACCATAGAGTCGATACACAATTGTTTTATTTCAGTTTGTCTAATTCTGTAATTTGAAGTTTATACATAAATTATATACTTATTTACTTTTATATATCGTCAGTTTATTTTGAATACATTTTACTGTGTATCACCTAAACGTTGTACACATATATCATTCATTGTTCGTTTATTCCTACCGGAAAGCCTAGACATAGTCAAAGTACAATAGTTAGGAAATTTTTCAAAGTTTCCTGTATCAATCATGTTAATACAAAGATGTTTCATTCACTTAATTTTTCGTAATCGAACTCCACTTGGCTCGTAACTATGATAGTGCTTTCGCAATTCAGATATTTTGAAATCAAGTGTGATTCTCCATAAAGTAAATGGTTTTCAACTAGCCTTGGATTCTGAGGTGTGACTCTCACCTCTTGTCTGACGTACGTGCAGTGTTTTGAGTTTTACACAGAGTCCCGAACTCTGTATCCCTCTCCTCAAAACTCATGCAATAATATCAGTGTAGTTTTTTAATTTGTAGTTTACTTCATGCGAACTGATGCCTGCTAGATAACCACTGAGTATCCTAGATTTGATCCCTCGTAAAACAGTGGAAATAAACCTCTGATTAATCTTATACTAGAAAAAATAGTTATCCACTGCTTTGAGATTTTCAGTAGTTGTTTAGGACACACATTTAGGCGTCCTACAATAGTTGTCTTCCTGGACCTTAAGGCGGCATTCGACTCTGTGGATCGTGAGGTTCTGTGGCAGTGTGTGTCATTGAAAGGTATACCAAAGAAGTACATTAACCTCATACAAACTTTCTACTCGAACACCACTGGTCGAGCGAGAGCTTATGGCGAACTGTCATCAGAATTCTCTACATCAAGTGGTGTCCGTCAGGGATGTCCACTCTCTCCATTCTTGTTTAATTTTATCATAGACATGCTCTTAGAAATAACCTTATCCTCATCTGAATTTTCAGGAGTAGACCTTCTACCGGGAAAGTCGCTTACTGACCTAGAATATGCCGATGACATAGTTCTATTCGGTGAAGACGCTGACAAATTGCAGAGTCTTGTGACTGCCCTAAGCAACAATGCAAGCAGGTTCGGGATTCGGTTTCCCCCCTCGAAATGCAAAATGTTACTTCAAGATTGGGTTTCATCGGTACCTTAACTAGTGATAGGCAATGAAGTAGTCGAGCGTGTTGACCGCTTCACTTATCTCGGGAGTCTCATCAGTGCTGATGTCCTGGTGACTGACGAAATCTCGGCACGGATACGGAAGGCTTGATTGGCTTTTGCCAACCAAAAGACTAGTGTACTGCGCAGTAGTTCGCTCCGTCTTACTTTATGGCTGTGAAACATGGCCAGTGAGAGTAGAAGATATTCGTAGGTTACTGGTTTTCGATCACAGGTGTCCTCGAAGCATTGCTCGTATATACTGGGACACCCGACTGAGCAACGCCGTTATTAGGAATCGGGTGCTAGGTAAGAATGGGAGATCAGTAGATGAAGTAATGAAACTTCATCAGTTGAGATGGTTGGGACGTGTGTTGCGTATGCCTAACCACCGACTGCCTCGACGAGCTTTGTTTTGTAGTGGAGTAGGTTGGAAGAAATCTCGCTTCAAGAAATAACTTCAGAGTGCCAGAGATTAGTAAATTTGAAGCATGATACCTCCATGGTCGAAAACAATGGCCGTCCATCATACGTGCATGCCGTTAGTGAAAAGAAAAATTCCGGCTCACAAAAGCATCACAAGAGCACAGACAACCAGCCCTCATCTCCATGCTGGTCATTTGGAGGTTGGCACTACAAAAAGTTTTGTCCATACAAAGATTATGTTTGCACTAAATGTCACAAAAAGGGCCACAAAGAGTCTCGATGTAGAAAAAAAACTCGCAGACATTACTCCGCGAAAGTCGATTCCAAGAAATACAGTTCTGGTAAGCCAGTATTGGTGTAAGCGAGTATTGGTGTCTCATAACCAGACAGGAATTCACCACAGAAGAAAGTATGTGACTTTGGATATGAATTCACACCGTATCCGTCTTCAACTTGACACAGCATCTGACATCACCCTTATTAGTCCAAAAACTTGGGAGAAAATTGGAAGACCTACAGTCCACCAAACGAAGCAACTAGCACACGCGCATCTGTTGGCAAATTAAATATTGTTGGGGAAATATTGTGCACTGTTTCAAAAAAATAAGGCAATAACGAGTGCAACTGTATACTTAACTAAGAACTCAGACCTTGATTTATTGGGGTTGGATCTCATAGATGCATTGAAACTAACAGACCATTCTATCAACAACATCTGCAGCCGAGTAAGAATCAATAACCCTATAGAGTCAAGTCTGAGAAATGGCATTATGAAAAGGCATCATCACGTATTTTCGGAAGCGTTAGGCGAATGTACGAAGGCTAAAGCACTACTGAGTCTCAAGTCAACAGCTATTCCTGTACCTTATGCTTCTCTCCCGGTAGTTGAACAGGAACTGGAACGACTTCAAAGAAAAAAGAAAAAAATCTTATTTCGGGGAGGTGTTGGGATAGCCAATCGAGAAGAAAGCCACGCACATTGTGGATTGATGAACTATTTGATTAATGTTCAAAATATTTTAACGACAATATCTCGATTATTCATATGATTGTATAAATGCGCATGTTTGATTGTTTATTTTTGATTCTGTTAATAAGTGTTCTCCAACGTCTTCCGTCTTCTTATTTTTGAACGGAGGAGTCTAACGTTCGGTGTGTCATTAGTACAGTGGTTTGGCGTTACATCAAGTACAAAACATAAAAATTACAATGGATAAGTAGTTTTGACATGATTGATAAACTGTTACTTGGACAAAAATAGGTAGGGGTTAGGTATACGATAATCTAATTGTGTGCACACTTCTTAATACGTAATGTTTTTAATGTTTTGTAATGATTATGTTAAGTCTATTTATCCACGTTTGACCTACTACTATCAGTACACCTGTCTTCCTACTATCCACTTGTACTTTTGTCTATTATGTGTAGTGACGTAATGTATTTCTTTTCATTGTGATTATTGACTCAGAAATTGCTTTGATTGGTTTAACATTTTCATATAACTGTAGTGTATTATAGAGTATAAAGCCTGATGACGATCTAATGGAATACACTATTGTTCGCTTATGTGTTTTTCTAATTTTCACAATAGGAATTTTTAATTAATTATGCACCAATTCTTCGATCTTTTTGATTAATCGTGTATCTATGTCCATTTTATAATTTCTTATTCATGTTTATATGAGGTCTAGAAATTATGTCATATAATTATGCTAGTATTAGTTACAAATCGAACTATACAATAGAAGTATTCTGTCTGTCGTGTTGCTGTTCTTTTCTGGATGTCGGGCAGACGAGCATACCAAGCCAATAAATATAGATCTACTATGAATTATTGGTTAGTAAATGTCATTGGTTTGATACCCCAAGTCTAAGTGATTTAATCATTACTCAAACTGGCGGTCATACAACTGGTCCTTTTAATCACACAAACCCAAAAACTAATACAAAAAATCTGTTCTTTTCGCCGTTGCATCAAAAGTAATATCAGATTATTTATTTGTTCTCTTGTATTTAAAATCTCACCCTATTAGATTACCAAAGAAAAATGTAACTGGATACCAAACTCGTCGGCCTAGCAGTTCTTTAAGTGATCCAATATGGACATTAGCTGGTGTACTTTCACATCGTTATAAATCAAATAAATGGATACAATTGAATTTCTGTTTATTAACAAATAACTCAAGATTGGTTGCCTATAAAACTGGTCATTCAATGACACCATCATTAGTTTTATTCTTATACGGGTCCACTGGTATTTATTCCGGTCGCGACAGTGGTATGGAACATGTGATTAAGATAGTTCATTCTAGTCGTGAAATTATAGTTTTAGCCGCACCTACAGAAGAACAAGCATTGATTTGGGTTCGAGTGAGTTGAATTGTTATGGATATACACTTATTGTCCATGATGTTTTGTGATTTGGCGAATTGATTGTCTGTAGACAGTAATATTCTTTACAAATTTTCTTCAGTTGAATTACTATTGAAAACGGAAGCACTAAATAACGTCTTCGTACTAGCATGTGATTCATAATCAGCTTTGCACACCTACAGCACTATCACGTATCAAATCCAAGATCTTCAGGTTTCACAGCGAGCGTGTCCAGTGATACAATGCAAAATAACTCAATTCGTTATTTAGTAACACGATTATCCTATGTCATTGGTATTGTGCGAAGTTGTGACTGATGTAGCTCACACATGTCAAGAGTAAATAGTTATAGTGATATGAAGTCAATATTTTGGCGTATAAAAAATTTACCAAACTGCGGTATATAAACCTTAATGATTCTATAGAATTCTTTAAAAAGTAAATAAACAGTGATGAGTGACTCAGTTGTTGAATGGATCAGTAATTCATAGTTCTGATGAGAATTTTATATCTGTTATATAATTTGTTTCACATTTCATTAAGTTGTAAGTTATGATTATGAAGGAAACCTGTATACTAAGTATGTCGTTCAAATTTTAGTGTATATTTAAATACACTATTCACTTCATGTAACAGGATATTATTTACAAATTATTTTACTGTATTTTCGTCAAAATCACCTACCATAGGAGCGTTATGATTTATTATTTTGTTAGTACATTTACATGATACGGTTACTTACTGTTAGTTCGCAAAGTTCATTTAATATAGTTTTTGCGGCCACCAAATGTTTGTTGATTAGCAGAGTTCAAGCACAGTCTATTCATTTACACGTAAAAACCGATTGGAAACCATGTGACAGCATCAAAATCTTCATGGGAACATAAAGACATACAACCGTAAATGACACCGAGTTCATGAAATTCAAGTCCCATAATCATAAGATAATTTAATTGGTTAATATTTTACTTGTTCATTTAGTTCTCTCCGATGTTCATCTACTATGTGAAATCTCTTTTGGTAAGTGAACCCAAGCATACTTTATTTTCACTAGTTTACATCACCCAATAGGACCCAATTTAGGATCGATAGACATTTGACCTATCAATCAGTATCTAGTGGTTTGTGTTTCTTAACTCACGATATTGACTTATCGTACATCCTCACGTAATACCCGTTTAAAATTCACTAGTCACATAGCTCAATAAAATTTTAATTTTACTGGTCACCATGAGATTGATATGTTGGCTTCAATGTTTTTGTAATATCTCATTTATTAAAAATTAGCAAATCAATCAGTACTCTCAAGGTTCTATACCAATGGAAGTTTGTTCATTCCTACCACATTTGAATGCTCCGAATCCCACCAACACTCAAACCTCATTTACCACTTCTACTAACATAAATATTAGTCATGCCAGTGGCAGAAATTTCACATCTCCACAATTGTCAGGTTCCAACAATCGTCCTTTTTCTGCAGATTTAACAGATGTACAAGTAAGAAATATGATATCCTATTTATATCACGTTTTGACCATTCACAATACTTAATTCACTTTTGTATACTTAATAATGAATAAGTAGTATGATGAAACTCTTATTATTAATCAGCCTTGGATTCAGAAGAATCATGACTATTTTGTAAAGATTTATTCGGTTATATATCTAAAATAGAAATACTTAGTCAACCATCTATGATCAGTGTAAAATCTGGAATCTATATAAATCAGCTGAGAAATTGTCGTAGTGTATATAAGAGCGACATGAGATTGATGAAATGATTTGGAAGGCACTGGAACTAACGATCGTGCTATTGATGATATTAAGAGAGACTTTACATAAAGATTATGTTTGAAAATTCAGGTATACAGCAGAGGACAAAGAGTGAACGCATCTGCTTTCTTGAGAGGTTAATTGTATAAGCCATGTGACACAACGCAACACACATTTTCATATTACATTCTGAACATGAAGCATTTTAACATTTATGTTTTAAATTTTTAGGTTGACAACAGATTTTTAGCTTACAATAAAACAATGTACACTGAAGGAATTTCATCTAATTACCATAATGTTTTATTGAATTCTTGTGAAATTGATTTTCAACGTAATCGTATAGCGGAAAAATCTGTGACAAATAAAATGACAAATCCCATTGATGATGTTATCAATGCTAATGACTCTTTCTTTATTGGTCGCGATGTGAAAGATGCAACTCATCATTGTTTATCTCGTAATACTGTATTATCATCGAATCCATTACCATCAATGATATCGTCGTCAGTATTCGATGCAAGTTCAATAAATCTAAAACAGAATTCACGTCGTAGCAGTTTAATTTCATCTATGCGGCGTAAAGTAGAATCATTTAGCTCTAAACATCGTGTACGCAAAACTTTACACTCATCAACAAGTAACTATTCGAATGTACCTGAAAGTGAAATATTGTTAAATAGACATAGACAAAAGTTAAGTGATGAATCGAAAAATAATTTTGCTAGCTCAAAATTTTCACCAGTTCAACGTTTTCAACAACAACAACAACAACCACCGCCTCTGATTTCATCATTATCATCATCATCATCATCATCATCATCACCACCACCACCAGCTGCTTGCATATTAGATTCATTTGGGAATTCCGGTAAGGGATTTGGTTGGTCCCAATTAGTATCAGCCGGTGTAAGATTTCTAAATCAAGACACAAAACCAATAATTATCCCATCATCTTCCACTACTAGTAGTCGACCACGATCTGTGTATTATGATACTTCAGCAACTACATCGGATATTTTCTCTTCACAAAATAATATATACTTGACGCCTAATTATGGTCCATTGTTAGATCTAAACACAATTAGATCGTGTACTACTGCTTCATATACTACTACTACTACTACTACTACTACTACTACTACACCTGATGATATTCATATAATCATATCAGGTAAACTCATATTAGGGAATTTTTTTTATCGTAAGACGTATTTTATGCTTCGTTTACTTTCGTAGATATTTTTGAATAACCAATCTTTTATTTTACATGAACATTTTTTTCAGTAGACAGGAATATAAATTTAACTCGTTAGGCTGCCCAAACTAAAGTACGTAAATTAGAACTTCAACGTACAATCTAGTGATTAAAAGTTGCATATCTTTGCACAAGTTCTCTACATCTATTTGTTTAGTCTGCTGACAACTACTTATAAATGATTAATTAGCATTTAGTCCCTGATTTTATTTTACCAGTTGATCGTTTCCTTGATTTCCTGTACGAATTTTTGTGTTATAATCATTATAGTGCGGTTATTGAAATGGTAACTTCTAGGACTTACTTATGGATTATTATTATTATTATAAATATTTTCATCGTATAACTATTAAATAACTAGATTATTACATATTTATATTCCTTTTGTCATAAGCTCTTGATTGACGCATTAGCTAAGTTTGTATGATTTACCATTCTTAGTCTTTTTCCAGTTTATCATTCAAAGACCCCTTTATTCACAACTACTTATAGCTTGCTCAGGCTGAGATGTATTTCCTCATTCCATGGTATGATATGATCTGGTATGTTTGGTATGTATATCATGCCTGCTTGAAAGATAGCTAAATTTTGTGGAGGCTGGTTACGGACTTCTGGACTAAGGCAGGGTAGAGAGAATGAAGCTGACGAGTTGTGAACCAATAAGGATTTAGTGCTGAGTCATGAATTCTGGCGCTAACTTTATTCTGATTAGTATTTTGTATTTGTCGCGAGATATTGGTCAGCACATACTTTTACATTTTTTTTAGCATAGAGGGATTATAACTTGTTTTTGAAATCAGGATATCGATTTCATCCTGTTTGGGATTTGCCACCTGGATGTGTCGACATCTTAATTTCGGTCAGAAGCTTGTGGCTATCTGTACACAAGTCAATGATTATTGCATTGAATGTTTGGAGTTAAAGATACTGGGCTTGAATTTCAGTGTGCACATTGACTCTGTAATGCAGGTATTGATTCGGTTTACAAGTTTCAGTAAAGACTAAAAATGCGTCCGTGATTACACTTTTAACCACACCCCATCTGTTGTAAATAAACAGTATATAAATGTATTTCAATCCGTACCCTTAATTGATCTCTTACTGACCTCATAATTCTTATCCTTGTTCTTGTCTTTCCATACTCAACTGCACTTTTCTGCTAACACTCTTTAGGCTATGCGTTTATTTCTATACCTGGTCAAGTGCCTTGGACTATTAAATGGTGTTGTTTGAAATTAAATCGTCTTGAAATCTATCGAAATAGTAGGAAAGATTATCATGATAAAGTCGACCAAACTTTCAATGGATATATCAAAGAAAATTGTGATTGGCCTATATTTTCTTTACCATTAAATGGTGGTAAAGTTGAATTAGGTCTGGCTGGTAGTAGTGATAAGCGACATTCATCGGCTATTCGTTTAGCTGTTCCAACTGAGTGTACAACACCATTACTATTTGATGCTGTAGATAAATTACAAATGGGTTCGTGGATAAGAGGATTTATTCAAGCATCAGGGCTTATCGAATCGACAGATGTTGCACAACAGAAAGGTGAGTGGTTTTTCAATTTTCTCATAACAATATTGTATATTCATTGTTACTAAGCTTCACCACTTGAAACCCGTTAGTACTGAACAACCATTTCGTCCTAGTATGGGAATCTTCAACAATGTATATGCACAAGTGATTGAATCCATAATCATCGATTTTGTATGCGAATGCTTAGTCACTAGACCATTGATCTGGCATCCAATAGTTTACATATCTAACTTCAGTTAATTCACAATATTACCCAACTCTCTTCCATTGTCCGAAGTTGATAACCCATACCCAACATAATTGAACTTTCCCTATTCTTCTGATAATCATGTACCTACTAATGATTAGCTTGAAAATGGATTTCTTAGAATTCCAGTGAAAAGATGTAGCTATGAGTGTTCAAAGATGTGTGGCGTGAGAATGTTATTCTTCTCGGGGAACAGATAATGGTTACTCAATATCATGAGTCGTACACTAATGGATACCGGCTTAGTAATTTAGAGATTAGACCGTTGCGCTAGACTGAAGCTCCTGTTTTCGACATGTAGCGAGGTCGTAGGTGAAATCTTTTTGGCCCCATACGATACTTCCAGGTTTTCAGTAGCGGTTTACCTGAGCTCAGTTTTTTATTCCAACTATGAAAATTCGATTTTGTATATCCTCTAAACATAGCATAACAATTTTACTCTAATTTTATTGTTTATCTGGCCACTCTTTTACTTACTCTTGTCGCCCCCGTGGAGTTTAGGCAGGTGATCAGGACTCCTGAACTAACTTCCTCTTGTGCACTCCTTCCTAGTTGTTGTCAAGTGCTATTCAGTCTTTTGATATCTGCCTCCGAATCCGGATGCAATATGTTTTTTGGCCAGTAACCCTAGAAGGTCTCCTGACTGATATTTAACAGCGTGTATATGCAGCAGATAGTCGTCGTCGTTTTATAAAGCTTGGAAAAATATGAGTGTCCAGATAAAATCAATACAGTCATATGAAAATAAACTGATCATCATGAAAGGGGTCAAAATTATAACATTATCTATGACAGTACGATCTCAGTGGGTAAAAGTTAATAATGATAATATTCATCAGTTGAAATTAATCAATTAGTCAACCATCCACAAAGTAGTATCTTCTGGTTTATATACATTCATTGCTTCTAGATCCCGCCACACCTCACCAACATAAGATAAATCTGACTATCATAGAAGTAGTAACTGTCACTGGTAGTAAAAAAAATATTGGTTCATAGAATATGAATGAATTCAAGCAATATGAAAATATAAGTCTCAACAATCTGCACAATCTAACGTAAAGAGTATCAGACAATCAATAAATTTTAACTCGACAGAAAGATGACTTTCAAAATTTAATTTTACTAAACACAAATCTATTAAAAGCGAATAAACGTTCCGTTTATAACACACTTTCTAAGCTGTTGTCTTCTACTATTATTAGTTAATGATCCGCAGTATTTTTGGAAAAAAAAATAATCATTTTCCCTAATTTTAATGTCGACTGATCTAAAAAAAAACAACGTAGCCTCATCCACCGGCTTCTTTTTGTCTTTTGCTTACTCTAGATTTTTCTGTACATCGATTGTCTATAATAGAACCCAAAAACACTGTCATCCATCCTCCTTATGTTGATGTGCATGCAAACCATTTTCAATCTGTTCCATTAAAAAAAAATCATACTGTTGTTCCATTAACAACTCTCAATTCATTATCGCTAATCAACCGTATACCGAATTCAATTTTGAAAACATCTCAAACATCAATATATTATTCTGATATACATGACAATAATGATGACTCTGATATTAAAAAACAAAAATCATCACCATCATCAAATGTAATAATTTATGACGAGGTATGTCCTCCACAACCAGCTTTTACAGTAACAACCAATAATGTCACTACTACTACTACTACTACATTCTCAATCCCCTTAACTACAATTTCTAGAAATCCTCCCAACTTAAGTTTGTCTAAAAGACGTTGGAGTTCACCTTTGTTAATTTTTGAATCATGCTCAAAATCTTCAGGACCAGTTTATTTATCAGATATTGAATCAGATGATACCCTATTGAATGGCAATAATGATAATAATACATTATCTCACTGGAATATACCACCACCAAGTAGAAGATTATTAGCTCAGCCATTGCCTCCATTACCGTCAGTTGGACCGAGTACATGTGAATCATTGGCCGGTACAATCGCAAGTGATGGTAGTTTTACTTCATCAAATATAACAACAGATGATATAGGTGGTGGTGTTAATGTCGGTTTTGATTATGTTGGATTTCAAGACAAAAATGAACTGATTGAATTTACTAATATGAATTTAGAAGTGAATAGCGTGCAGGTAACTACTAATCTATTGTATTTATTTAAGTAAAACGTCTTTAACCAAATTGTTTAAAGTAACATTTCAATAAATAAATAATAATGAAAGGAATTCATCTTGTTCATCCTATTGCCTAATGTTTGACCAATGGAAAAGTCAGGTGTGTAGGAGGGAATTTTATTTGAAAGACTGATTTTTAAGTGAAATTCAGTGACCAAAAGATGAGATTTCTCTTGACAATACAGTTCTGTGTAGAGTGTAACAGTGGCTCACTCGTTGAATGTTCAACTTTTAGTCATTAGGTTGTTAGTTCGACTTATATAACTTGATAGTATCACTGGCCCTCATACTCAGATTATGGGTCAGTGTCAATTACAAGGATGTGCATCTGTAATAATAACGAAAACCGGTATAAACAAAAAAGATCTTAGAACCTTAATTTCTTCAAAGATTACGGTGAATTGGTCCAGCCTGCTTCCATTGTATTTCACTGATTCAAAGCACCACCAGGTTATATCTTTTCATTTTTGTCCCTGTTTTCCATAATGTACACATAATCCATGTACCTATATTAAAGGTTGCTGTGGTTGTCAGAAGGGGCAGTGGCCTCGTTACTTCCAAAGGAACTCGGCTTTCACCATGGGGCAACATAACTCTGCTAAATGAAGACCTTCCAACCACCAAGGCAGAGTTTAAATGGTTTGGATTATTTGTTCTTGTTAGCGTTTTTCTTAGCGAGTTGGTTTTCCATGGGATGGGGTCGCTAACCCCATACACAACCCCCCTCCTCTATCTGGGGATGAGACTGACAGTAGCCCCAGAGGGCCTCCAGGTGGAGTTAGATTGATTTAGTAGTTCATGTTAACGCATTGAGAGTCATTATACATCAGAGCACCTAAGTTATTAAAAATGATTTGGTATAACACGAGCTACTGAACAACAGTAGCAAAATGATATACTCCAAAAATGTAGGCAAGCTTTAACAAGTGATCAATCAATTTTTATTTATCATTAATTATAATACTCTTCTAATTTTCACATAAATCCTTCTCTTAAAATTTTTATTACCTTACTGTTTTCGTTATCATAGACTGATAATTATTCGTTATATTGGTCAAAGAAAGTAAACAATTATCATTTTCCTTTATCTATGCTGAATCGTCGATATGCCAGCATGAGTAGTTTACAATGTTCTGTGCCATTAAAACAATTGTTATCACATAAACGATGTTATTCTTGTATCAATAGTAGCAGTGGAAATGAATCAGACGACAATAATTCTGCAATGGGAATAATAAATAGCAGCGGTAGTAATTCAATGTGTACATTTATGAAAGATGGTATTAATTCTTCGTCTTTATGCACATCATTTACATTTATATCTGAGTCAAATAATACAACTTTGCACAAGACAGATTCAGATAGTCTTACTACTACTACTACTACGACGACGACGATGACAACGACAACGACACCGACTAGTACTTGCACAAATGTTATTAGTAACGATGGTGATATTAATATTGATCGAAGAAATTCAGGTAATTGTTTTAAAGCTTTACTGGTACTCATTTTGTTTAAAATTTGATTCTTCTCTCTTTTTATCGGTCTTACTTGCCATATCTTAAACAATATCACTTTCAGATTGGATACTTCAAACCTACCTAACAATGAGGTAAATTTATAGATATTCTTTTTAAAAATATAAAAATTCCCATTTTATGGATTAAAACGACACATGGACGAACAATTTTGTCTTCTGTTAAATCTTCACCAGGCTTTACTCTGATATGCAATAATATTTATATGCACTTTTATATAATTATTAAACTAATTAAGGTAACTTTCGAATCAATGCAGAGTGGAATAGATTACATAAATAAATATAAAATACAAATTGATGGTGTGATGATAGTTGTTCTGATTGTGGTAAAAATAATAAAGGCTTCATTTAGTGTTTCATAACTTAAAGTAGGTTAATGACTGTGAAACTGGATGATGTTTATTCAAATAGCAAGTACGTCTTGCTAAAAGGTACCGAGCAACACGAATCATAGATCCAGGTTTCTTCTGTGGACTACCCCCAAACACCTAATGTTTCAAGGGTACATGGGATGTCTACTCATTAACACCAGTAGGTATATTGTAACTTGATCGATAGCATTAAAGAACCAGACAATCATGATATCACCCACTACGTGTGGTCAATGTAGATCTTATATTTGTTAGCAGAATGTAGATTGGATTAAAGCATGTCTAGTGCAACATTATGTTGAAGCACTCTGGGGAATTCTTAGTTAATCAGCGCAAGTGGATAGCTGGAGAAGGTTCTGGAATATTCTTGTGTAAAAATTATAAATATACTAACGTTACTTTAATTCCTTCGCGTTCACCTTGGTTTGTTGGAACATTATTCACTACTTGTTCAAACCGTGTTCTGATTTTGGGGACTAGTTAAATACAGTGTCGAAGAATACCAAGCGATAAGAAAGCTGAGTCCTGTAAGCGAGATCATTAACAATATCATTTGAATTGTCTTCCGAGATATAAAAGTATGTACCAATATTTATTTATTGGACTTATTAAGCATATCAATGGAAATACTAGTTGTTTTTTAATTAGCGATGACAGTTTCCGTCTGGGATCACATTTCTGGTTGAATACCAGAAATTAATGAACAGTTATTTCATGTCATTGTTTTACTTTTAAACAATGCTTATTCAATTTTGGCTGTTTTCTCTCGTTCAATGTCTGAATTTATGAATAAGTTCGTAAAGAGGTTAGATTAATCTGATCAAAGTACACAGATTCCATCGTTCTACTTAGAGGTTACTGTCAAAATGAAGCCTTCGGATTGCTGGGAATAATGATGGTAAAATGTTGAAGTTACGTTTCTCATGAAACTGCTCTGAATCAATCACTAGTTTCATCATAGGTAGAAGTGAAGTAGTGGAGCGTGTTGAACATTTTACGCATTTTGGAAGCGTCATCAGACCTAGTTCCTAACTGGTTGGTCATTTTATGCATCAACTAAACAATGAGGTCCATATTCATGCATCAAATGATTTTTAATTAGAACCAAGTCTGACTCTTGACTTTTTGCTTATTATAACAGTAAGATATTTAACTTCCTTTGTAACCTATTTCGTCATTCCGTATAGTAGCGGTTGGGACGTTTCAGATCTTTAAATCTTGAGATTCTACTTGGGATTGCTAGATTTCGTATCAATTTAAGAGAAATCAACGCCAGTCAGTTTTATGCCTAAATGCACAATCTAAGATAATTTCATTTTTCATGGTGTAGGTAGATAGCAAGCAGTTATCAGACTCTTATTTACCAATGAGAATAAAGATTCTTCATGATCAAAAACAGTTATTTGTCGTTGCCTTTCCGTAACCTTCAAATCTGATTTTGTGACTCATTTTGGAATTTCATGCTCGCTTCGTAAAATATTAATTTTACTGTGGGAAAGATTATCCAGAGTACTGTTATAAACATGGAGGCGATAACCACCTTAACGATGTCCAAACTATCAAAGGACACTTCTTCAGGTTTCTGTAGTTAAAATTAGGTTGGTGGTGGTCTTCTCAACCTGGGGACATGACTGCAATTCCTAAGGACTGGTCAAATATGACCTTCGTGAGTAGTTCTATATGAGTTAGTTCTATACTCCTAAGACCGCGCTGACGGTAACAAAAATCCGTAAAGAGGAAAGTAGGGTATGCTATATTTAGGGTTAGCTTTTCCTAACCATCTCTTTTGGGATGAGACGGCATAACCTCGGAGAATCCATCGTCGCACCATGAGTTTGTTAATCATAGTTTTTCCGTTCTCATACCAACATACTTGGCGTCATAAAACTAAACCTATGGATATTAAAGTCAACATAGTTCACTTGGTTCACCACAATATGCAATTTGGACCATCCTACCACTGTAGCATCTACGGTCAGGACCAAACTGTTAACTGTGGTGCGACTACACTTCAGTATTTTGTATCACCAAACGATTGGTATGACATTTTTAGTTAATACTCGTCAAACTTTCGTCTTAAGCAATCATACAAAATAATTTGTTTTAATCTTGTACTATATTCTAGGAGATGAAATCAGTTTATGGAATTCGGAAACTGAAAACTTTTTATGTTTCAGAGATCCAGCTCTTGTAGAGTATATGAAATCGTCTAAACTGATTAGCGCTAGACGATGTGTTTCTTGTGTAATCTGTAATAAGCCAGAAGTTCTTCAGAAAAATTCCTGCGTAGATGAAATCCCGACTTCTTCATTAACTCTTCCTGTTCATTGTGGATCTGATGATACAGCAACAACAATGATGAATACAATAACAATTTCTAGTGATCCAATTATATGTCGAAAATGGAACATAAATTATTCGAAACGAAATCCATATTCATCGAATTCCCGTCAGATAGCCACTCCATCAGTTGTAGCTTTGACACCCGAATTTTCATCATCAGGTTCTGGTGGAACTGGTCGACCTTCAGTAGCAATTCCTAACTGTCATCTCCCTGTAATTCTTGTGGAAGAAGGACAAACTAATAATAAAGTGAGTAGTTATCATATTTTTGCTAATAGCAATTTTTTGTTCTATTCAGTTAGACCATTTAGATTTTATGATCACAGTCTTCAAGTATAAAACCTGTCCATCGAACCACTGCCTACCTCTGTTTTTGATATTTACTGATGTATGATCAAGTTAGCGAAAAGCTCAGAGGTTGACCAGACGGAGACGTAGCATCAGTCCATCAAGTGATTGATTGTTGGATTGATCCATGTAGGTAGATGCCCATTTTCTGTTTAGTTGGGGTCCTCATGATAACTACCTAGTCTTTTCTATTATCGCTATTACTGAATGTTTTTATTATTACCACTACTCTGGTGTATCTATCTTGATAATTTCATCTCTCTCTGTGCTGATGTGGTGCTACAGCTACTTGGGTCGATACGTATCTATACCAAGTTCTGCATTTGCTTATATTTAATTCGCTGAATACGAACTTGTTCATTAAACTGACAAACATGTCTTCGATTAAGTTTTGTTGAGCTTGTTATATCCCTAGAGATTCTGATATTTTGTAGACAAATACTAAATGTTAGTTTCATCCTAACCGATTTAAATCCAATGGCTAACTTCACCTATTTCCTTAAGCAATATGTAACAATGCGAATTGCATTTTGACAATGAATGTGGAGTTAAGCATTGTCTAAACTGTAAAGATAGACAGATCATAGTTAAGCTTCCGGTTTTAAGTGGTAGGGAACAAATTGGCAAGTTCTCAAATATCTCTGCTTATCAGTTATCGACAATTATTCACCTGAAATTTGAATCAAATATTTGATCCTTTCCATTTGGCTCCTTAGGGTGCTGTAAGTTATCTAAAATAATTCAGCAACTTTTATTCAGCCAGTATATATATATATATATATATATATATATATATATATATATATATACTATGTAGGGCATCTCGTATATCACATTCAGTTTAAGATTTATGTATCATAATTTTCAATCTTTCTGTTTGTGTTATCAGAATGGCACCATTCGTATCCATAAAGATTGGTGTGATCTTCTCTTGAATCCAGGACAATCAAAATGTATTCGGAAGTGTCAGTCATCATATGATTATGGCTATCAAGTAGAAGTTCCTACTTCTAATCTGTCTTTGCTAAGCTTTCATCAATATCCTTATTATCTGGTGAATACTAAGAACAAGAATAACAGCACCAATTCATTGATGACGAAAAATTCCATTCCAAACTCTGCATCTTTGATTCTCATTACATCATCACAACTGAAAGAGATTAAACAGGAAACTAATAGTATGCAATCAATAGAGTATGTTTAATCATCGGTATGACGAGTTTTATTTTATTTCAAATAATGTCACAAACTATAAGTTCCTTAGTATTTAGAATCTTAGATTTTCCTACTAAAATGAACTTGGATGATCATTTTATATTTCAACCCTTTTAATATCTCAATTATTTATTGTCTACAGTTTGGCACTCCTCAATGGTGCTCATCCGCGATCCAGCAGAAATCGAATGGTCGGAATGTTCCAGATGTGAGATATCCATCTTTCAGTCACTGAGTAACAGGTTCGAAACCTTCACCTATTTCGTTTCAGGATACTGGGTAGTACCACTAACTCCCACACTTAAAGTTTTTCTTTTGACTTTGAACATCTATTGTAATCTGATGTTGTTTTCATTCTCACTTTAAATGATGGAATTCATGTAGGCTATTAATATACTATAATTGATAAAAATCTTTGTAATAATAATAATAATAATAATAATAATAATAATTTACTTATTGATTGTAGCAGAAAGATTATAGAAATAGAAGAGGAGGAGACAACAGCTAATTTATATGCACGGTTATCCTCTGTAGAAATGATGTTAAGAAATGCTGAATCTACTGAAGCTCGACTAGAAAAAGAATTTAGTCATTTAATGACCAGTGATGAGAGATCACCATCACTACTGTCGTCACAATTGTCCATGGTCAATTTGATGGAGGATTTAAAGTCACAACATCGAGATCAACGAATATTTAGTGAAAAATCATTAATAAATGTACGTTTCTGTAGCCGTGATTGTTAATTTATCGATTATATATATATATATATATATATATATATATATATATATATATATAATATGAGTTGCTTGTCAGTATGTATAAAAATGCGCGATAGATGCGATTAGTGATTGGAGACATTGGTTTATATGGATCGAAATCTATCACAATGTCCCAGAAGACTTATTAACCCTTTATCGTCCTCCTGATTTTGAATTTCAGTATTCCTTTGTTATTATTACCAGTTCATTCTTTCTTAAAATATATACTGAAGGTCTAGTACTTGATTTCATCATTGCTACTACGTCATTTCCATTCCTTCGTTTTGCTGTGTTATGTCAATTTGACCTAACTCATATTGTGCCAGGCTATTTGTTGACTATAGCTGACTGACTACAAAGTTTTCACTAAAAATACTTGGCGATTAGTTGAATGTGGAACACGCAAAACAGAAATATGATGTACAGTAGCTTGTAACCATTGGAAATCTTATTGATAACAATAAATATAGACTGATGAAGTTGTAGAATGTAATTAAATCCTTTTTGTTTGAAATTTTATGGGTCTTTGTTTGTTACTAGGATAAAATATTATAATACATATACCTCATTGATTGTCCGGATAGCTCCTAGAAGCCTCAGGGGGCTCCAAGAAGCTGAAGAGTTCCCACCTAATAACGGCTCGATGGAGTTTCTAGAATGCCTTTATGGCATTAGGTGATTAGATGATGACGTACTAGCGCTAATTGGAGATTAGAAGGTTTTAATGGTGTTCGCACTACGAACAACTCTCAATACATATTTCTTATCTGTACATTTTGGCACAATACGCCATAAATACCATATCATAAGCTAGGTGTATTCATGGTACAAAACCGAGTTATAGGTACCTAAATACTTGACCATATTTTCTAAGCGGTAAAAGATGTATCGGCAGTAGTATAGAAACTAGGCAATCACAATTAAAAACGCAATTTTTACTTACAATGAGATGTAAAAATACTTTTGTTTGTTACTCAGGTCTTTTAAAATGATCGTGAAGAATTACTTTTTATCATCCTAGCGTAGAAATAATAATGTTAAACGTGTATCTGTAAATTTTATATAGAAGGTGAAGTAACACTAATGGTGTAAATTGTCTAACAAAATAACATTCTTTTTTCATTCAATTTCATTTTTTTATGGTGATAACACTAGGTAGTTCTAGATTTCTTTTACTAATCTCTTCAGATCTATGACTTGCTGTTGACACTTCCTACAAGAAGTTCTTCATGACATACAATTTTTTAGAACGGTATTTTCTCTTTCAATAAAATAATACTGGTTTACTTTACTGTCATTTTTATCCACGTAGGACAGTGCAAATATTTGTTTTCATGCTTAACATAAAAAGCACGGGAAAATTAGTCGTCGATGCTGTAAATCAAATCAATCGTTTCATTAAAAGATTACTGTTACTATTCAATCCTCAAGTTGTCGTGTCTGAAGTCAAAACGATCCTACAAGATGATGACGTTATTTTTATGTCTGCTTCAACTATACACAATCATTTAATTGTAAAATAAATGTGACTCAATCTACTAATTTGTGTTCACTAACAACTGTATCATCATAGTCTTCCTAGATTACTTTTGTGACACAATTTATTTCTTTTGTGCATTCTTCTTTCAATTTATAATTGATTCAAGTTTTAATACTTCGTCCCCTTTTCTCTATTTCTCTGTAAATTAATTTTTATGAAGTGGAGAGAGATAGAGAGAGCATAGAATACAGTTAAATTAACATTTTTCAAACTGCATTTATTTGTATTCTGTTTTTGTTTTTAGCATTTGTGACTCTTGAGAACCTCATTAACCTTTAATTATCTCATGCATCGTATTCGCGCCCAATCTCCTCTTGATTCGATAAATTGTCCACTTTTTTTTCTAGTCACTCCTTATTGTGTACTTATTATGCTCATCTAATAATATAAACAATCGAATCTGTCTTCCTTAGTCAACAACCAATTTCTCGGTTGTTGTTGTTGTTATTGTTATCATCATCATCATCATAACAAATGCTTAAATCATCATTCCGATTACCTTTTTTTTGTTGTTGTAAATTCATCTTACCTTATCATCAATGAATTCATACAGCATTTAATACATAGTTTTAGAAAAGCATTCCTTTTTTTTTTCTTCTTACAAGTATCTTGTTTTTTTTTCACTTTTCTCTATTACATAACAAATCTGTCTAATAAATCAATATGCATTTATATGTACTTTCACTATTCTTACTACTTATTTTATCATTTTAAGATCCTTTTGATCATCATCTTTATCGTATTTGACTGGTCTCATTCAGTCATATCTTTTCTTAGGTAATAGTCATATTAACCGTTTTTCTGATGTACATTCCTACTTTATACCCGATACACAATCGATCATGATTTGGAGAATTGTTTGTTTCTCATAACTGTGATTGTTTTGCTTTACATTTGTTCCTTTTTCATTGAGGTATATGGTGTTTTTGAAAAGAAAAAAGTTCATTCATAATTTCAGTAAAATAAAAAACCTCCATTCATAATGAATGATTAACTGATGGATAATAAATGAACAGAGTTTAATGATTCTGTCTTTATAACTTCTAAACAAAGAATGACTTGGTTTATGGGCTTTGTGTTGTATGGATCCAGTACAAAAAGTGGGTAGTGTGGGAATGAACTGCACTTCTATGGCTAGTCTTCGTAAAGATAGGATAATTGTAAATTTTTGTGGTGCTAACGTGGTCGAAGCTTCTGTAAACCTTCATAAATTAATAACAAATTTGGTAATCACCCACACAATCCGATGCAACAAATCGTTTACGTAGAAATCTGGTTCTTATTAAATGCAGATTGGCTTCTAAAGACTAGTTCGTCCAAGATGTTGGTAGATGCCAATTGGTTAGTGGTGTACGTCAGGTAGCATATCGAAGATGACTATGTGGATAGTACTAGGCAGAAATAGGTTGTGGTTTGTGCATATTTGCAGTAGACGGTCACCATTATCTGACCTAAGACTAGCAAATTGCCACTGGTCACCAAGAAGACTCCTCCGCACCTAGACATTCTGCTTGTGCATTCAAGATTTGACTAGTACTACATCTGTCAAACGCACTTTCTGGAGAAGATCGCTTGACTGGCGGTAGAACTCACCGTCATTTGTTATCTGAGCTGCAATCAATAGGGCGTAAGCGGCAAAAAGACATCGTTTCCAACACCAGTTCCTTTGTATGTTGAAGGTGCTTCGCAGCCTAACAGCACATAATGAACCGTTAATGAAGATCCAGTTGATCGGCTCTGCCTCGGTCCTAGCACTTAGTTTGACACTCAGGCATGCGAAATGAGCTTTACAAAGCGGCTGATGGGGAGCGAATGTGCAGTACGTCACTACAGTCTTGAAGACGGGTTTCGGATACACAAAATTGATCTCAAGACTTTTTAAAGATATAAACAACCCTATTTGTTGTACGACCTGCATTAGTGCGTGAATGTTGTAAAAAGCTTGTTTGAATGGAATACATTGTTTCAGGAAGGCTGATTCAGACTTAGTATTCGGTAGTAACATTCAACTTCTGATCAGTCAATGACTTCCCGACCGTAGCTGCTACCTTGACGTGGTGGTCGGGCTTGCCTATCGTGATGACCCAACCGAGCTATACTGGCTGAAACATATGTTCCTGCAGGTCCTACCATGCCAGACAGGTCGATTGGAGAACGATGAGACTAAAAGCAGCTACCCAAGGTCTGAGGGCGAAGTCGTACTGCTGACTGCAGAGAGGTGTGACAGCAGTAAGGTGTTTCCCTCGGACAACCAGCATCTGCAGCGATGCTGCCTTCTCACAAGGAAGGAAGGTTTAGAAAATGTCGACCCTAAAAATGTCACACCCCTACCTCACGGATTTCCGTCTTTTTGGGTTAGGGTGCCCACTAAGGGCCTTTAAGAACGGAGCTAATCCTCCAAATACCTTTCATAAAAAGGCCGTGCGTGACCGGCCTCAAGCAGTTGTCCCTTGGGCTCTGCGGTCACGCACCAACACTAATCCATATTCCTTTTCAGGTCCCTCAAGAAACAACCTTCCACGGTGTGGGCAGCCGGGAAGTGACAACCGCCCTCATACCCATAACAGCACGCGAGACCGAATTGGTCGAAATCAAATCCTTCCTACACCCCCTATCATCTCTCTTATCTCTACGACTAACTCTACTCACACTCCCTTTTCTCACTGCACCGCTAATGCAGACGAAGCGAGATCACGAAACGTCATTCCTGGTCTCTTGAAAACCCGTTCTAAACTACATGTTGGAGCATTTAATGTACGGACATTGTGTCAAATAGGGCAACAGGCATCATTAGCTAGGACTTTAGAATCTCGTGCCATCGATGTATGCTGCGTCTCGGAAACGCGCATACAGGATCCTAGTAAAGTCATTAACCTGATTCCACCTTGTCAAAACGAAGAAGCAGCCCGATTCACTCTTCGTGTATCTGGAAGCCCTGATGCTGCTTCCAGGGGTCTCGTTGGCGTAGGCATAGCGTTGAGTCCTAGGGCAGAATTATCTCTCCTAGATTGGATCCCAGTAGATAGTCGTTTGTGCGCCGTCCGACTGAACGGGACAGTAAGGACTCGTAAGGATAGGGTCATCATCACCTCTAGTTTCGACTCTCCAAACCGTTCTCACTGAATCATACTTCTTCAATAGTATCTTCTAACCCTAACCTCTCCGATTACTTCTTATTCCCTTACTACCTCTACTACTATTGGATTTGAATTGACAATTATATCTCTGTGCTGATGTGGTATGGCAACATGAACTGATGTACTTACGTACCAAGTTCTACTTTGCATCTGACTGACTGACAGTCAATGACTTGACATTGTTCAGACGGGACAACATTTCACCATAGACGGACTGCTGTGTGAGTTGAAAAATGAGAAGTAAGGAATAAAAATAAATATGCGGGTGACGCAATTTAAGACGAAAGCGAATGTTAGAAAATAATTGTGAGTTTAATTTGTGAGAATGAGGATTGAAGCCATAACAAGTTTTCCGAATTGTAGCTATCATTTACCTTTATGTGTGGGCTAAGTTACTTCCCGCATACTCAAAAGAAAGCAGATGGTTTTCACAGAAGACCATTACCTGAGCCTTTGACCTTCAGCTCTAATACACAAGGCAGTTAAGCAACGTCGAGAGATGTAATCTCATGGTAGTCGGTCACCAACAATAGGTTGTTACTTTATTCGACTTTTCAGGATCCTGGAGCCCATATGTACCATTGGTTCGGAACCAGTGTTTTCCAAATCCCTTAGGTGGGTCCTTCGTACTCACGAACCCGATTTGATATACGGTCGGAAATTCTCATTTTGTACTCTCGATTTCGTGAGTATCCCTGCCATCGGAAGGCTGTGAGTAGGACTTCCTTGACAGTGGCTATTCATGCGTGGCCATATGAACGCATATCGAGATTGGGAGTATTTTCCCGGTCTCTGCCATACCAGAGCTTTTAAGGGCAGCAGTGCATTTGTTTGAATAATGAAGGTCTAGCATTTTTTCGCGGAACTGTTCATCTTACGATAAACCTTATGTTTTTTTCCACAATTGGATTGATTCACCCTCAGTTGGCAAGAGGTAATGATTTTTTCGCAGTAGCGAAATTTTCATTTTTCGACCATATGAGACATGAGTTAGGTGTAGTATCCCTTGTAAATCATATAAAACAATAAACTTGAAGTACTTGAAGATATATATAAATATTTGAACTTTTAACCTTAAAGCATGAAAAAATAATGGAAGTGACTTCTAAAATAAAAAAGTAATCAGACTGTTGGTGGCAATTCATTTTAACTTTGGTTACGGAGTGTAATGCGTATCGGACCTTGGAAATGTAGTTGTTATGTCAAGCCTACATAGTTTTTTCAATCTTCTGAGCAAGGAAAGTTAATATATTGTCGAATTTTTATTTAAAGCTGTTTTGCCTTGATAATATTGGCTTCCATTGTGCGTTTCTATTTGTGTGTATCGCTTAATTAATCAACTTTCCATCTTATTTCTCCTTGAATAGAGACAGTAAGTCATGACTTAAAAATGGAGTAGGCCTACTCGCTTCGTTATACCTTTTTCGCTGCCAATCCTCATGTCTGTTCACAAGAACAAGTGCATGAGATAAACTCACCCAACAGAATCGTATTTGGCTTCCCATTACCTCCGGCTTATAAATGGAGTTAGCCTAAGTCTGATATGTTGAAATGAACTGAATATTTAATATAATAAGCAAATTGGTTCTTTCAAGCCAATTAGACTCAAACACTGATTCCCTGTGAGGATTTTGATACATTTTTATGGTCCTTAACGACCATCAG